TGTTTTTGTCAGAACGGAATTTTAAACTCTTTGGACAAATCTCAGTACACACCTGTGCCTGTAGCTTGGGGACAACTCTGAAGACTGGTTAGTTACTGCTGTTTATCTATATGAAGCCTTTCTACTTCATAATTTTCTTCAGATTCTTCTTACAACATTAAAAATTAGGATTTTCTTCATGTAGCGCATGTGATTGTACAACTGTCCTTTATAAGGATTTACATTTATGTATTTTCCACTTGTGCAAAGACTCTAAGACTCTCTATAAACTACAGTTCAAGTCATAACCTTCATATGTAAAATTCATCTGAAGTTGCAAGAACATAGTAACATTTGAAATCAATGAAATTACTAATGTGCTCAAGTCAAGAAAATGCCTACATTTGCAAATATAAAATAGAAACTCAAGAAAGCAAATTATGAATAAGGAGTACATTTCTGACGAGTAATACTGCATTAAATTTTATGTTCTTAAAATTAATATGATTTTAGGCCTTAGTGTTTAATTTCTTAAGTGTTTTCAAAGACCTTTACTTTGTGACTTGCTTGGAATATATAATCCTTTTCATGGTTGTGATCTTTCAGTTTTTCCACATAACTCTGTGAAAAGGAGAGCTGTAGTTGTTTAGGTCCCAGAGAGAAGGTACAGCTATAATAAGAAATGTATTTTGAGGGAGAATTTTCATTTTTTGCAACAGTAGTCATCTGCCCTTGCGTAGTTAAACAAGCATTTTTTCAGAAAAGAAGTTGAAACTTATGTCCCACTGCCATGAACTTATGCTTCCTATGACTTCAATCATAGTTATTCTTTCAAAGAATGAAAAACTTGACATTTCAGGATTCTGATGGAGAAACCAAGCCTTCCAAAACATAGCTCCTCAGGTTTAGTTTGATGTCAGTTTGAACTGCAAGGTCCTGTCCAAGCCCAGATTTAGATCAGCATTTTTTTTTTTCTTTGGATGCAACTGTTTTTGTAACTACTGCTCCATTTCAGTGCTGGTGTTCCCTTGGATTAATGAGTAAGGGATGAAGAAAGGTGAAGACTCTTCATGTCAGCCACTACCATTAACTGCTTCAAAAATGTGACAGTATTCTACTAACGCTGTTTAGTTGATAACCCGTGTGGATGATGTTTAATTGGATAACCCATGTGGATGACCCAACATATAACTCCGAAGTGTGCATGGGCTGTGGCGGTGCGGGATGGTTACAATTACTGTAAACTGCACCAGAAATCCTAACAAAACACTGCACTCAGGATTTCCTTCTGATAAGACTCAAGGGCATTTGCACCGCAGAGAAAGATTAGATGGGAGAAGATGCCAAAATGTGGCATGGGGGTATCTGCTTTTTGACAGTTATGAAGCAAAACATTCTCCTTCTACCTGCCAAGGGGCAGGAGCATGGCACAACTCTCCTGAATATGTGATGGATGCACAAACTGAGGGACGCCGCAAGAAATAGCGGAGGGAAAGCTTGAAATGCTGTTGGGTGCATTTCTCTAATATAAATAAAGTTTTCCAAAACCTCGGTTTCATGATTCAGCATTTCTTTTGGCACTGAAATTATAGTAACAATTTAAAAGTAGGCTAAACAAGTCTGAGGGAATATGCTGGTGAGTTCAGACCAGAGAGGGGGAAGTCCCTGGAAGTAATAATAAAAAAACTAAGACCCCCGCCACGGCCAATAATTGCATTTTAATTATTTTAATGAGGAATGTCTTAAAGCACTTTACAAACACATAATAGTTATCGTATCCTCACAATACCTTCTGAGGCAGATATGATCACACTTCTTTTCTGGATGAACAAACTGACCCACTGTATTAAAATACTTTGACCAAGGGCTTCTCTAAAAACAATGGGAGACCAAAGAATACACTCTTTAACCTAATTGTGAGACAGTAGCAATGTGTATGGAGGAAGGAACTAAACTGAAAATTATATGTGGGGTAGATACTGTAGTAGATACTCTTTCTTGCTTTCCTTTGTTTTAAAAGTCATAAGTTTTTGCTGCTCGACTTGAGATAATAGTTTAAACTGTGGGGGCTCAGAATTTTTAAACAAACTCTGTCAGAAAGTTATCTTATAGCTTTTATCAGTATTTTTATTTTTAAAAAAATATTTATGTCATATACAAATAATTTTTATATATAATTTTTTTCAATAAGTTGGTTGCGTGGCCTCAGTAAATCAATGACCATTAGTCAGCCAGGGGACCAGAACAGCATGTCTTGTGCATGTGTGTTGAGCATCAACTTAAATTTTAAATGTTTGTGCGTGTCTGTTTCTTAGGAACCAACCCCAGATTCCTTCAGGATTAGGTTTTCCTAGAAGGGTCAGTGTCTGAAGCAGCTCCTGCTTCAAGGGAAATGGCTTACTGAATGGGGAGGTCTTGCAGGACACTTGGGCACCTGCTTTGTCCCAGAGAACCAGGCAAAGCCAGGTGGAGGGGATGGGGTAAGGATGCGGCAAGGATGGGGCACAGCCTGAGAGGCACCCAGAGAACCGCTGCGTGTGCTGAGCCGGGGAGGTGTTGCTGCCAGGGAGCCCTGGCTGCTGCTCTGCTCTGAAGAACTGCTGTAGAAATTCACCCTTCTTCAGCTGACCCGCCAGCTGGTCCTGGCATTTTAGAGTCATCAAAGAGTTTCTGAATACAACACATCAGCTATAAAGGAAAAATACTTTTCTTTGCATTTTACCGCAACATTTTCAGAATGTACACCCTTCTTGATGTGGAAAGTCGCTGAAGTCAGAGACATAAAAGCTCCATGAGCTATGAAAGAAAACACTTCTACTTTTCAGTATTGAGAAGTGCCTGATTTTTAAAAAGATAAATATTGATACTGTCCGCTGTGATTTTCTTTAACTTTTGAAGCCATAAGTTAATACATAAAGTGCCATTGTAAAGGTCAGAGAATCTTATTATCACTACATCAAACTCATAATGGTTTTTTTTAAGATTATCATCTCTTTGAAAGTTCTGATTTAAAGGCATCATAATTTCAGTATTTTATTCGTTTTTTTAAGTAGAAGTGGGCCAGAAACAAAACCTTAGCTCAAAACCTGCATGAATCTTGGGGTCTCACTGCTTCCAATTGATGCTCCAGCTTTGTTGGTTAGTACCCAGAGGAACATGAATTAAAGCTACAGATCTGAGCACCCCTGCTCCAAACACTGTGAGTAGTCAGAGCTGCAACTACATTTTGTTCTTATTTTTCTGTAATAGGTAGCACCACATGGCATACATGCTCTGTGTTTGCAATACCTTGTCTCTGTATCTATAAAAAACCCCCAAGGCATAAATAAAAAAACACAATTGGTGAATTTCTCATGGATTGTTAACTATGAAAAAGATGCACAAATACCTATTAAAGGCAGAGTGAATCATCATGGAATTTCCATTCCGCAGTAAAAGTGGTATTTCATTTTGGCCATGAAAGAGGTCTCCATTTCACCCTTTTTGCTCTGGCTTTACTGTAGTTTATTGAAACAGCAAAATGAAACACTCTGATTTTGTTGAAATGCAACATTTATGTAGTTTTGCAGTTACCTTTGAGACCAAGTTGATAAATTTGTATAAAATTCTTCTATTTTGTTTAGTCAGCATTTTCCAAAACCAGCATTTCCAGTGGGAAATTTTTAATGTTAAGAAGAAAGGCTCAAGTCAGTGTTCAAGATGGAGAGTAAGGTAACAGGGAAGTTAGTCTAGATGCTGTTATTAACCTATTTATGTATGGTGACTTCTGCTACTGTGAAACTTCACTTAAACCCAAGGTGCTGCAGCATGATCTGGGAAATCATCTTTACGTTACAGAGACAGTCAACAACAGCATGTGATGGGAAAATTAAATTACCTGTATGATCCAATACCAGGCTGGGACAAGCTAACAAGGGGAGAGGGTTTGCGGAGAAGTTTCCTTGCAGCTGCTGAGAAGCAGAGACACTCTTGGCACCCTGGTTTGCTGGCCGAGGAGCAGAACAGCCAGCTGGGCAGCACGGCAGGGGCTTTTCCAGGCTATGGTTGCATAGCTGTCTCAGGGTCCATCACACCATGCTGAGCAAGTCCTGTTTTGCTAATGTAGCTATACTGCTCTTTTTGCTCCCACGGGCTTGTCCAGAGCCAGTTGAAGCATCCCTCATGGGCCTGGCTGGTACTTGGTAAATGCGACATAAGGCATCACTGAACATGTACCCATGTTGTCCTATTTTTTCAAAAAATTACCATTTAAAATGTACCCTGTAAAGATGTTGAAAAACAAGCCTGTAAAGATGTTGAAAAGTGAGCTGAAAAATGAAAAATAAACGCACTAAAGTGAAAACATATGGCAGGTGCAAGTTATGTGCAAACTGTGTAATGAATTTTGAAAATATACTTGAAGAAAGAGAACTACAAATGTTTCTAGTCTGGATGGCACATATTAAGGATAACTCCCATGTGCTCCATGATATTTGCCAGATCTAAAAGCACAGTTATGCTGGTGAACTTTCATTAATCACTCAATACCCTGAGTGTAATAATGGGCAAGAAGGTTGGTAGGATCAAGTAATTCTCTAAATTGTGCTTAACAGCTTCAAATGAGGGATGGATGAACTGGCTGCAGTAACTAAAATGCTGAGCCTGACTCCATGTAAGCGATTCAAAGTAGACACGAGTTTCAGAGACTCGCGGACAATGAGTTATCGCTACTTTTTGCTTTTAAATATGTCTTGCTTTCCACATCTCATCAGCTGATGGCTCTGTGTAGAACTGGAAGTAAAAGTGCCAAAATTCCATTTCTTTGTTGTTTCTGGCACAAATCAGATCAGGAATTACTGCAAGATTTCAACCCTCTTTTGCCAGACCAGAGAGGTTGGGATAAGTTGGCATAATTATAGGAACCCAACTTCCAACCCTTCCCCTTTTGCCCAGTGCCTTGCCTGTCACATGGCAGCACAGGGCAAAAGCAATCAATGCCCTTGATTTGGTTATAACATGTCTTTCTGCTTTTTTTCCTTCAGAGCTTTGTCATCCGTGGTGGCTTTAGGAGCTAATATCATCTGCAACAAAATCCCAGGCCTGGCCCCTCGGCAGCGAGCGATCTGCCAGAGCCGCCCTGATGCCATCATTGTGATCGGGGAAGGGGCTCAAATGGGAATCAATGAGTGCCAGTACCAGTTTCGGTATGGGAGGTGGAACTGCTCCGCACTGGGAGAGAAAACAGTCTTTGGACAAGAGCTTCGAGTAGGTAAGGGTGTCTCTAATATGGCGCTGAAATGATACGGTGGGGCTGGTTTTCTTTTAGCTCTCTGACTGCAGTCGTGCAAAGATTTATAACCCTGTGGTATTTGCCTACTGGAGTTCAACAGTGGTGCTCCCAGAACAACTGTGGTCTGCGTGTTTTCACTCATTGAAAAGTAACTGGCAAGAGACAGGAGAGCCATAGTGATCTCTAGATGAAGTCATTCATATCTGTGCAACTTCATACTCAGCAATGACCCAAATGCCTGCACAGGCATCCAAGGATGCAGTCATTACACCCCATGGAAAAATATTTCCAATTGTCATCCTGTTAGAAGTTGCCATGATAACTGTGGTGCATATTATGGCCAATCAAAAGGGAACTAAAATCAGCTCCAAAAAATCCCTCTGCAGACTTCCAAAAGCTTAAGTAATGGGAGAGTCTCAATTAACTGATGGAAGTATAGTGCATATGACACTGGGCTTCCAATATACAGCAGTGATACATATCCATTTTAGCGTTGCTATCATACTGTAAAGAAAATACTGCAAGTGATTTGAGGCAGGAAACCTATTCAAAGAAAATAATACAGGACCTTGGCCTGACAAAGGGTTAGCTGGCAAAAGTTAAATTGATCACTTTCCATTTATCCTATGTCTGATATTATTTCACAGGGGAGATTATGCAAATTTTTTCCAGCACTGAGATCATTATTTTCCCCATCACCCAGCTGAGTATCCTCAGCCTATTCTTGACCTTTTCTTTCTCCACCAAGGGCTGCCCACTTACCATCCTCCATACTATCTGCTGCTAAGTGTTGGGATAACATTTTGTAGTGTGTGGCTCTCACAAGGGCACTCAGAGTGACACTGTCCAGCTTCCCAGTGGGGTTGTAGCCTGTTCTTCTTGTGTCTGATTCTTCTTTGGATGACACCTCTTTCTTGAATTCAACGGTTCGGGTGAGTCTTGTACCTCCAACACAACTGAATGTGGTCAGACAAGGATCTTATTAAAACTATGTGAAAAAAGGCATAACATTTCATCTCTTCTCTGCAAAGAGGAAACAACTTACATGGTGCTTTACTTGTTACTGGAGATCAAGGATTTGGTTTTTTTTCCAACACCATTTGGAAATGAATGCCAAAACCTGAGATACGCTTAAGTCAATGATGGAACTGAGTATTTTTTCAAAGAACATGCAAGTCTGAGAGTCTGGCTTAGGTCTGGGATTTTTAAGGGCACAGGTGGCCCAGCTGTAAAATGTTGTAATTGAAGATACCCATTGGCATTAGGGGAATGAATATGCACCCACAGAGAATCTGTCATATTCTGTGAACATGATTCCACACCAAATCACAGAAGTGGAGAGGGCTAAAACTAAAAATAAAAACACCCAGTAAACCAAATCAATGGCAAAAGAAAAGTCTGAACTCTTTGAACTTCAGAAAAAAGTTTGGTAGAGTTTGGTTTTCATGTTGAAAAGCTGGTGTTGAGGAATTTGCTCATCAGTGTCTCTTCCCACATTTGTCCTAAGATATTTCTAATTCTGTTTAGATAATACTTCTCACCTAACTTTTGTTTCTTAAAAAGAGTGTAAGTGGAAGGCATTAAACATTCTTGAGACACCATATGCAGGAAATAACCTAACATTTGGCTTTTTACCTTCAACTTTAAATGAATCAGCAAAACATCTAGTCACTTGTCTCAACTATTAGAGTCACGGGTCTGGTCCTCCTTGGTTGGTCTTGTGCTTGTTTGTCTTAAGTTGATGTCCAAAATGATGTTGCTGCCAGAACGTATACAGCTGCCAAGCATGCCACCACTGTATTTCTTCATGCTATGTTGTCTTGATCTGCCAAAGCCTGCAGGCATGCTCTGACCCTTAGACAAGTAAGTCCTCTTCTGAGAGATCACTTATGTCCTTGAAGAGGGACACTCTGGAAGGTACCTGTCAGTGTCATCACTAAGCTTCCTGGTGAAAAGGCTTTCACTACTTCTGCTCGTCTCCTCAAGTTGAGAATCTTGTGGCACCTCGTCAGCTTTGTCCTTGTACTCATGAGTAATAGTCCTCTTCACCAGAGAAACTGCTTTCATTCTCAGAAACCTGTGAGTAAGCACAGTCCAAATGCCTAAAGAGGACTACAAGTCATGCCTGTGCTTTCATTCTGAATGTTTCTATACAAAATAAGAGCTACAGGGAACAAAAATTGTTTGCTATCAGGATAGACCAGCTGTCAGGTTGGTCAGACTATACAAAGTTTAAAAAATCCAGGGTTTTCTTGAGCCACTGTTCAGGCCTTTTTTGCCAAAATGTTCACCAGATTCTTGACCTCTTCACCGAACCTGGGTGGTTTCTTGCAACTCTGAAATGACTGATGTGGAATTTGGTGGGTTCTTTTATGGCTTAACCCAAACACAGACGAAACTTGGCAGTTGCAGCTGAGTTCTGCTTTGACATTTGTTGGGTGTGAAACCACACAAACTTTAACGGATAGAGAAGGTTTACATGACTCCTTTCCAGCTCAGCCAGATGAGTTCCATGCAGGTCTATAAAGGATCCCATAATCCACGTCTTTATTTGTTTTATTAGTGGAGTAGCACCCAGAGATGATGTGGTCAGTATCTAGGAAAAGACCAGGGTTTAGGAAGTGGTGTTATTACACTAGTGAGGGGGGAAAAAAGTCAAAAGAGGACAAAACCTGAAAAAGAAAACCACTTAAAGGTACAAAACATTTGTAAGCATAAATATTCACATTAGTAACAAAACACATCCCTGTCTGACACATACAGAAATGCTAAACCAGACATTTGGTTCTGCCTGAACAAACTGAAGGAAGAATTAAGACTAAAAAAAGCAGACATGTTTTTCACTTCACCTCAGAGGAAAACTCATCTAGCTTCTTCCCAGAACCGCTTAGGGAGATAAACAATCATGGCAATTTATTCAGGTCATAGGGTGGAGAGGGTGAGTAAGCTATGATAGCATGATATTAATTGCTCTCTACCTGTATGGAAAGAGAGGGCCTACTCTTTAGCTGCTGGGCCAAGGCTCTACTGCTAGCACTGACAAGTGGAGATTTATGGTTATTCTAACTTGTATCCTGATGCAACACTCCCCTCCTCCCCATTTAAAGCAAACCCCCAGACTCAACCAACATGAGATTTCTTCAACAGCTGTGCATCTGTGGCCAACACTACCTCCTGGGTGCCATTATGCTCCAACTATGCATGTCTTCCAGCTGCAAGCAAGCAGCAGCCAGAAGGCATGACACAGGAGCAAATGTCCACCCTGGTGACTTTTGGAGATCTACTCTGCCAGGGGAATTGCCAGTAAGTTAGCTAAGCTGGATCTGTGCTGAGCTATTTTTTCAAAGAGGTATTTCATTGATTGAGGACTGTACTACCTATATAATACATGGAAGTCTGTATTGAAAACAATTGAAATAGCTCAGAGGACAGAATAAAAATTGTAGAAATTACTTTAGGCATGGGGCATTCATGTTGGTGTGAAAGATTTATAGCAGCCAGAGATAAGAAGCAATGGAGAGAACAAAGGATGTAGCATGGAATGAATTAGCCAAGCATTATGTATAGCTTTTTTTTGGTGTATTTATAGCTGGGAACTTTTCCATAGTCATGCCAACCCCAAAGAAAAGTCACTGCTACACTCATTTTACTCCTTCTGTCCCTGTACATACTTGTATTTTTCACCTTGCTGCACCCATCCCTAGTTTTCATGCTAGCTTCTCACATAAAGTCATCTTTTGCACTCTCCACTCATTCCTCTTGCTGTAAGCCTTTTTTGTTAACAAATTAGCTCCTTAAAGATTACCTGTGTAACAAATAGATTCACAAATTAATTGGTTAATGATATATCAATTGTTACTATGGATAACCATCGATGAAAGATAATTGTCCTTCTAATTTTTTGAAGGCGAGGACCCTGATCTGGAAGAGTATAGCCTATCAGGTTATTGACGCAAAAGAGCTCCATCACTAAGGATTGGTCTCTATTCCCCTGAATGATGGTTGGAGCAATCTATCATGTTGGTAACTCTAAAAGTTGCAGATCATTAGAAACAGTTGAAAGCAAGTAACTCCGAGCAAAATGTAAGCAGTACAGCCTGTGAAGTATGGAGTCACAGTCAATAATGGAAGCAAAACCTACTGTCATTCTTTGAAAGTGGATTATTCTGGGTAATTATTTGTGCATTGACCATTCCTGCCGGAATTCTCCAGATTGAAGTGCTTATAAACAGACCACCCTGCACTTATAAACAGTGCTAAATTCAGGGCAAAAATGAGGCATTTTGAAAAATATAGCTGTGAAGATATCAAAAGTAATTTGTAGATGTCTCCTTTGTCAGAATCATGATGTCAAAAATGATCATGATTTAGTAGTATTCATTTGGCTGGGTCATTGATACAATAATTTGGGAAATCATTGAACTGGACACCTGACAGGGAAGAATCAACAAATAGGCAAGACCCAAGGGAGTTCTGAAGTTTTTTTAAAAAATCTCTGACCTTTTGTATTGATCTGTAGATTTCTGGCATGTTGAAAGAAAGCATCTGAAGTGAGGTTAAAGTCCTCTTTACCGCAGGAGGTTTAGGAGAACAACATCTTAAGAAGTTTCCTGTTGCCCCTCATTCACTGTACTTTTGGTCCACTCTCCAGGCAGAAAATGGGAGGAATGGGAGAGAAACTACAGTTCTAAAGACTAATCAAATCTATGCATGAATTTTATTAACACACCAGTGAAGAAGACTTTACAATTTATTTTGAGAAACAGTCAGAAAATAAAGTTGAACGTCACTGTTATATACAAGCACGCACTCGTATACATGCACACATAAACTGCTTAAGAAGACAGCATAATTTCAAACAGAAGATTAAGAAAGGGAGGAGACCATCTTCTGAAGGAAAGATACTTATGAAAAAAGTTATTCTTTCTCTATTCACACTGGAAACAGGTAACTAAGTCCACATTGGATCCCAGTGTTTT